TGCACCAGCTGATCCACTCCCTGGGCTGTGGGCAGTTGATTCACCCAACTGTCACAGCTCTTTATCTTAAACAAAGGCCACTCGCTGGTCCCCTTGGTGTTGAGATAAGTCAGCTTTTTCTTTAGCTGTTGTACCCTGTATCACCCTTGAGCTTCCAGAGCATCTTGCCCTCACCCATCTCCCCTGAGATTATAGGAGATTATTGGTCAGTCACAATGTGCCACCCGTGTGCATCCATTTGTAGCCTCTTACAATGATTTCCTCCAAGTTTCCCTTCTGTTGGAATTTCTGCTATGCTGGAATTTTTGCTAGTCTGTTTGTAGAAGGGCCCCAAACATAGGAATCAAAAAGGCTGTATCTAAAGACTTTAAAGGGTGAATGTGCAGCATCATTGCTGATACACAGCCTGTAATAGTTTGCAACATCCAGCAATTAAGCAAAACAGTGGATCTAGGTGCCTCAAGAGTAGTGTTACTGATTCTGAAGTCCACACTAATGTAGCCTTGAGTGTCCTGTTGTTTCAAATACTATTTTTATGCTATTCCAGTGTGTTGGCTGTGACTGTCCTCCTTTTGTGGAAGCAGTGATGCTGCGCTTGTTCTAAACCATAATAAACTAGCGTTTCGTTTCCAAAGTATTTATTCAACGTGGTATCTTCTCTTGTTTGCAAGCAAAACTGATAGCTGCAAGGCCGTGTGGTGGATGTCTTTGAAAAGCTAATTGTGGAAAGGTTATGGATTAGATTCTGCATAGTTTATTGGAGCATTTGCTCTGCTTAAATCTTTCCTGTTCTATATTCTTTGCTACCTGTGATTCATGCAAATAAATGTCAATAGGTCCTGTCTTTCAGACGTATCTCCCAGGTCTGATTTCTCCTATTTTATGTGTGTTTGGTGTGAGGAGGGATCCTTCTCTGCTTCCTGACTGAATAAGTCTGTGTTCCTTTTTCAACATTTAAAGACAGACTATTTATTCAGAAATTTGTTAGATTGACAGTAGGCTTGAATTCTAGAGAAGGAACTGGAAGAGGGCAAAACCTTCATATTCTCAGTGTACTTTCAGTGCTTAAGTAATTGGGCACCCTAATACTTATCCTCAGGCACATCAGAGGGAAAAAGAAGCAGCACTTGAGACCTTCATCTCTCTTTTCAGGCAGTGTTAGACCCAAACTGAAGCAAGGATTTTTCTGGGTTCTGCTGTGGAAAGGGTTCAAATTTAAATGTCCCATTAGGCACCTTGCTGCAATGGAATGGCTATCAAATATGGCCTTGGGTGAATTTGTACAAAAACTCAGGATCATTGAAGATGACTGCTTCTACTTAGTGTAGGTGCTTTCACTCTTTCAACTTGATGAATCTTTTAAGTGTATTTCTTTTCCCCTGTGCAGAGTGTGTGACTTGGAGAGGTAGGACAGCACTGCATGGGGTAGCTCGGGATTCAGGTTGGCATAAATACACTCTCCTCTTGAGCGTTTTGTGCTTCATATGAAACCCTTTCGCATCCACATTTAATGCGTTTCTGAGAACTTAAATTGAAGAGGAGAAACAAACTGGAGGTTCAAATTACTGAATGTAATTGAGTTTTTGTAATTGGATATACTGGGCTCATGCTGAAAGCAGCTTGACTCAGGGCTGCAGCGTGGCGATGGTTGCTTCACGTGTCCGTTACGTTGTTTGGAATAACTCTGCTGTTGATTGTTCTTCCTGCTGCTGCTGAGTACAGCTTAGCATGGTCTTAAGCAGAAGGCCAGTGGAGAGCTCAATATCTTTTAATTGTTCTGGTGTTAGGATGATTTGTCCAGTTGCTTAGAATGGTTTGGTGGTCAAAATTGTTGCTGGGGCCTCCCTTGTTTTGGAAGGGCACCGTGGTCTCGTATGTAATAGAGCTCTCAAAAATTACTATGTAATATTGTGCGTTCTAGAACGTGGAAGTTGGTAAATGTTAGTTTAAGTTCTTATTTCTGCTTCTCATGCTTTTTCCTACTTCATAAATATTTAGTACGTAAATATACTTAAAGGTAATGTAGCATTGAGTACAAAATGAAGGCTGTATGCCTTTGAGTAATGGAGCCTAACTGACAAAAAATTATTTTAAATCTTGGTTTCCTCTTAAGATGAAGCTTTATAAAGCATTTTTCTACTTACTGAAGCAAAGATGAATGTACAGTTTATTGTATGCCTGTGATGGTCTTGCCAGTCTGACAAGAGCAGTTCTTGAGATTTGAACTTGAGTGCTAGAACACGGTCTGTTATTGCAGAAAGGGAGTGTGTGGCTGGGGCCGAGGGATCTAGCCTGGAAGGCCTTAAAGCACTGGGGAGGGAGGACAAGTAAAATCTCTGCCTACTTACCTGGCCTCTCTTTGCAGCCTGGTGGCCAGTTCGACCATATTTAGGTGTCCTTACAAGTTCATCAAAATCAGTGGCTTGGTAAGGGAGGAAAAACCCAGCTCAGTATTCGCCATCTCTGTACCCTCCATCCTAAGGTGGAAATCTATGGCATAAAATTTCCATGCTGACCTATTTCATTATTCTGCTCTTAGGTCAGCACAGCCACAAGTACCTGTCTGTCTAATACTTGAAGTAGATGGGAAGGTTCCTACAAAACTGCCCCAGCTCACAGTGCTGGTAGGGAACAGTCAAGGCCAAGGGTTGGCATCTTATATTGGGGATTGCAATATAAGGTGTGCCGTGTGAGGGGGCATATGTTGCTAGGCCCTTTCTGGATGTGCATGGGTTACAGAAGACTAATCATTAGGGAACTGGGCTTTAACTGTGTTGCTTGCAGAGGAATCCCGTTCCTTGCTTGTTCAAGGCTGCTCTGCCGACTTAGACTTCTATAATATACATACTCTTACAGGTGCAGTTATGCTGTGTCATTATAAAGCCACCAGCACCTTCCTGCCTGAGGACAAGAGTGACGTTGGGAACATGCAGAGAGCCTCAAGCTGGCTTGGAGATGCAGTGACTCTGTGCTCTACTGCACTACATGAGAGAATTGCATCAGTTAGGGTTTTATTTTCTTGCTCTTCAGTAAATGACAAGGAAAGGGAACAGGGAAGAGGTATTATGGAGCTAAACATTTGGAAATATGTCCCCTGAGAGAATCCGGAGGGTATTTGGGACAGGTGAAGATGGTGGTGATGGAAAGCAAGTCACAAGCCAAAGACTGAGTGTGTGTGTGTGTGTGTTTTCTTTGCCATAAACTATTAGTATAGTTAAGTGGCTCCCCAGGACAAGAGGGATGTGGAACTTCTAGAGAGGGTCCAGCGTAGAGCAACAAAGATGATGAAAGGACTGGAGCATCTATCGAATGAGGAAAGACTAAGCGAGCTGGGCCTGTTTAGCCTGGAGAAGAGAAGACTGAGAGGGGATCTGATCAATGTATATTAGTACCTGAGGGGAGAGTGCAAAGAGGATGGGGCCAAACTCTTCTTAGTGGTGGCCAGTGATAGGACAAGGGATAATGGGTGCAAGTTGAAACACAGAAAGTTCCATCTCCATGTGAGGAAGAACTTCTTTCCTGTGAAGGTGACAGAGCCCTGGCACAGGCTGCCCAGAGAGGCTGTGGAGTCTCCTTCTCTGGAGATCTTCCAGACCTGCCTGGATGCCACCCTGTGCCACATGGAATCATAGAATCCTTAAGGTTGGAAGGGACCTTTAGAAATCATCTAGTCCAACCCCTTGCTCTAGCAGGGACAGCCAGAGCACGTGGCTAAAAAATAAAGGGGGGGGGGGAGGGGAACCCCCCAAACCATCCAGTGAACGGTGGTTCTGATCTGCAGAACTCCATCTCTGCATAGCTCAGATAGGGCTATTAACCAGAGTACCTACCCAGTGTTCAGTATTTGGCCAAAACTTGCCATTGATCTCCTTCATGCATTGCA